TTCCCTCTGACAGGGGCGCAAAAGCTAATCATGAGCAGAATCCGCGCGCAGCCTGAAGACTGACGAATTTATATCGTATTACCCCACCACTACCGCTATCATGGTTTTCGCATTCGACCAGAACGATGCGCACCTTCCAGCCAATGCGCTGCCAAATCCCGAGCCTGCCGTGCCTGACGATGCCGACATGTTCGCACCTGGGAACATGGACATGAGCCCCCCGAACGTGCCCCTCCATGTGGGCACCCCGCCGATCAACATCGTCAGCCCTATGCCCAAGCGCGCAGTGCAGCCCGATTCCGAATGCAAGCAGCAGGGTCCGGACAAGTTGGATTTCGACGCTGTCATGAGGAAGGCCCAGAAGAACAAGAAAAAGAAGAAGAAGGGTCTGAAGGCAGGCTTACAGGCTACGAGTGTCACCCGGGGTTTCCACACTCCAGTCACGTCTGGTGGGGAAGAGTCGGATTATTCTCTGGCGACTACACCACGTTTTGGCCCTGTTCGCTCCGGACTCCCAAGCGTGACCAGCAGCCCAGCGCTCCGCCCCCAGTCCACGGCAGGAGGCATCAGCAACCTCAAAGCCCAACTCGAGGCGCTCAATCTAGGTCCGAGGAGCGACTCCCCTATGAAGGATTACCCAGGAAAGGGCGTGCCTATGAGCAGAGTCACGTCGCAGTTGTCGAGCAACACCAGCATGTCAGGCCGGGAAAGCGACAGTGATCGTACCGAGATGGAGAGCTATGAAATCGACCTCAACGCCGAAGACTTCAGCGTTGATACGCTCTCCAAAACCTCGACCATGTTGAACAATGGCATGGCGCGTAAGATGACGGCAGAAGACTTCGAGCCGTTGATGTGTCTGGGCAAGGGCAGCTATGGCACCGTCTTGTTGGTCAGGCAGCGCGCCACAGGCCGTCTTTTCGCGCAGAAGCAGTTCAAGAAGGCCTCCATCACTGTGCATAAGAAGCTCATAGAGCAGACCAAGACGGAGCGCAATGTTCTCGAGAGTGTGAACCGCCACCCATTCATCGTCAACTTTTACTATGCTTTCCAAGACCAGGAGAAGCTGTACCTCATCCTCGAGTATGCCCAGGGAGGCGAGCTGTTCCACCACCTCGAAGCCGAGCGCATGTTTTCTGAAGATGCAGCAGCCTTCTACATGGCCGAAATGGTGCTTGCGCTCGACCACCTTCACCGCACAGTCGGCGTCATCTACCGTGATTTAAAGCCAGAGAATTGCCTTCTAGATTCCGAGGGCCACCTGCTCCTCACCGACTTCGGCCTAAGCAAAGTCAGTCTTGATGAAGACAACCCCTGCCGCTCCTTCCTCGGCACCGTAGAGTACATGGCCCCGGAAGTAGTCCAAGGCCTAGAGTACGGCGCGGCAGTCGACTGGTGGTCCCTAGGTGCGCTTGGTTTCGACCTCCTTACCGGTGCTCCTCCCTTCACTGGTAACAACAACGCAAAAATTCAGGAAAAAATCGTGAAACAGAAACTCTCATTGCCTTATTACCTTAGCGCCGAAGCCAAAGACCTTCTCACCCGCCTTCTCCGTAAAGACCCGAAGAAACGCCTAGGATTCAACATGGCCAAGGACTTGCCCAACATTAAGAAACATAGATTTTTCCGCAAAATCGATTGGAAGAAGTTGGAGGCGAGGGAGTTGACACCGCCGATTCAACCACTTATCACAGACCCGGAGTTGGCAGAGAACTTTGCTCAGGACTTCACCGATCTTCCGCTGAGCCCTGTTCTGACAAAGAAGTTTGATGACTTGATGTTCGAAAGTCAGAGCCAGGCTTCTAGCAATCCTTTTGGTGGATTCAGCTTTGTGGCTAGCCAGAGTCTGTTGGATAGTGGAGAGTGGGGATACTAACTGGATGCAGAGGTTTGTCTAGTTGCATTGTTTCACCGTGTTGTATATTTGGGTTTTGCATGTTGTTTACATTGTTGGAGAGAAAGAGTGTAATAGAGGGTCATTGCTTCGTCATGTCTCATTCGATGAGTATGTCATCACTACACAACGGCACAGAAGTCACTTTCAATGGTTACTAGATAGAATTCTTTTCTCATAGGCTGAATAAACCATCTCCTTCCAAACTCCATGCTCGTGCCGTCATCGGTATCATGCGCAAGTATTCATACAGACTGTAAACCAAGTGGGAATCGTAAAACCGAAAGAAAAGCCATTGCAGCTCTCCGCTGTCAGCACAATAGTGTTTGCATCTAGGAAGTAGGAGCGGCAGCAGCAGCGTAGGAGTCTGCGCTCTTCTCGCTTTGACCCTGGGCGGGCTTCTCGCTGCTCTCGGCGGTAGCGGCAGCACCCTCCTCACCAGCAGGCTTCTGCTTCTTAAGGTCTGCCAAATGCCTGGCCTCATTGTGGACGTCCATGACAGTCTTGTTTCCCTGGTCGTAGAAAGCACGAAGCTTTTGTCCAGTGGGTGTAGATGCGGCTTTGTCAAAGTAGCTGGTCATCATGTTGAAGGCAGCGTAGCCCTTGTTTGTTACGCCCAGCTTCTGGTCGACGACTTGTGCCTTCTGTGTAGCCTGGGTCTTTTGGTCGAAGTTGTTGAGGATGTTCATGAACTTGGTGCTGTAGCCGTTTTGCTTGTCTGCTGCAAGAGCCTTCTCGATGGCCTTGTCGGAGATGGCATAGCCGTGGGCGAGGTACTCGGCGATGATGCGTGCGCGGGGCTTCTGCTCCTGCTCGATGTGGTGGTCGCCGTCCTTGGCGTCTTCGGCGGCGGCAGACTTCTCGCCGGCAATCTCGTCGAGGCTCTTAGCTGACGTGACCTGGACCGAGTTGTGTCCAAGCTGGGTGTTGTCGAGGAGAAGGGCGGTCTTGGCGGCAGCAGCCTTCTCAAACGTGACGGAGGCTGACTGTGTGTCGTCGCCCGAAGGCTTCACGCTGAGCGACTGGATCTTTCCGCAGAAGGAAAAGAAGCTCTTGATCTCATCCTCGCTGGTCTTGGTGGAGATGTTCTCGACGTTGACGGTGGCAGCCATGTTGACGTATATGTAGGGTGGGGTGGTTTGAGAGAATTGGGTGGTAAGGGTATAGTAGTTGAGAAGAGTGCAATGATTCTATGAGTGATGTAGTAGACTACGTGTTGGAGACAGGGTCTATTTGTAGTGGTCGAGGGGTGTAAGAAGCCAGTTCAGGGAGGGGCGCAGCCTGGCAACGCATGGGCTGATGACGTCGCGCGGGGCGGTGCTAGTGGCGTCTAGATGCCCACGCTCTAGGGCTGGCGGGAAGCTTCACGAAGCACTGCTTGGGCTGTCTTGCATGTGAATGCCTACCACCACTGGTTGCTTCTTCACACACACAACTGACTGCGCATGTTGTGGCTACATGCCATCTATACACGAGTACTCTCATGGGCACCTGTCTCTAACAGTCCATTAACAAGTAAATCCTTGGGTTTAGAGACGCAATTAGGGGTGGGATGTGAGGCACTGCACTACTCGAGCGTATAGAGAGCATAAATCCAGCATTGGTATGCACTCGCACGTCAGGACCCTATGTAGATATGAACCTGATGGGGACGTGATGCCTACCGTGACGCTCCATTGCTCCACCAAACCTCGGCTTTAGCAACGTCATAGCTCCGTCTTCTCAAAACATCTTCCATGAGCTCCACCAGCTGCCAACTCACACAACAGTCGCATAGCGCCTGCATCATTCACAATGGCTTCCAGACTGCTTCCGGCGTCGCCACGATTAGCGCAGTCATGTCTGCGTCGCACGCGACATCTACCACCGACCGTATCTCGACTCCCACAGCGCCGCTACATCTCCGCATACGGCTACGAACAAGCCAAAGCCCTCACTTTCTCAGACTATGGCGAGCCTCCAGCAGTGCTCTCTCTTCACGGCCATTCCATCTCGCCACCACATAGCAACTACATGACGCTGCGCTTCCTCGCTTCGCCCATCAATCCCGCCGACATCAACCAGATACAAGGTGTATACCCTTCCAAGCCAACCTTCACAACAAACTTGGGCACCCCTAACCCAATTGCTGTCGCTGGAAACGAAGGTGTGGCAGAAATCATAGCACTTGGCGAGGGTGTCAAGAAAGAAGGCTTCAAAAAGGGCGACTGGGTCTTTATGAAAGGTCCTGGCTTCGGTACATGGCGAACACATGCAAGCGCCACGACCAACGATGTCGTCAAACTCGATGACCAGATGCGTGAAGGAATTACCGCTATTCAGGCCGGCACCGTATCCATAAACCCATGCACAGCATATCGCATGCTGCGCGACTTCACAACCCTCTCCGAAGGCGACTGGTTCATACAGAATGGTGCAAATTCGGGTGTTGGCCGCGCAGCTATCCAGCTAGGCAAGAAATGGGGTTACAAGAGCATCAATGTGATTCGTAGCCGGGAAGACAAGAGCAAAGAAGAAGCCATGAAGAAAGAACTGCAAGATCTAGGTGCGGACGTCGTAATCACAGATGCAGAATTGCAGTCTCAGGGCATAAAAGACCAGGCCAAGGAATGGACCAACGGCGGCCGCGCGCCCATACGCCTGGCTCTCAACTGCGTAAACGGCAAGGCAGCCACCGCCATGGCTAAGCTGCTTTCCTCGTCCTCACACTTCGTTACCTATGGCGCCATGTCTAAGCAACCCTTGACCATTCCTGCTTCCATGCTCATCTTCAAGGACATCCATTTCCACGGCTTTTGGGTGAGCAGATGGGCAGAGAAACATCCAGAGGAGAAACAGAAGACTGTTGCTGATGTGCTGGATATGACAAGAAAGGGCGAGTTCAAGGATACGCCTGTTGATGAGATCAAGTGGGAATGGGATACCAAGGGCGAAGAATTGATAGGAAAGGTGAAGGATACACTGGAGGGGTACAGGGACGGCAAGGGCATTTTTGTGTTCGGTAAGACGTAAATTATATACCCTTCCAAATAAGAGGCATACATTTCACGGCGTATATACGTCTAGCTATTGAAAACTGTGAAGTTATGATATATTTTAGATGTTCTTACTGCAAGAAAACCCTCGAACCGTTATTAGGCAAACGCGCCCTGAATAGCACAAATGGTCGTTCCCTCCGATCCGTGCCAGGGTAAAAGGCCGAGCTGAAGGCAAGTTGGTTGTCGGTAAAGTAAAGGTAACCATCGCTTCCGACAGACACTGTATAAATTAGCCCCGTTCAGTATGAGCAGTATCAAGAAGGACTCACTGGTGTCCACCCAACTGATCCTTGGGTCCCTCACAAACAGCGTCATAGACGCATTCATCGGGTTGTGAAACCCGATTTCATTTTGCTCCATATCTGTCACGAGTGAACAAAGTCAGTGTATATCTCACATGCAGTTTTTACAGGGATACTTACTACCCGCATAGATGAAGCCATTGGTGTCCGTCTCAAATCCATCACTAACACCCCTTTCTCCCTTGTTGTTCACGGCACCCAGCGCCAAGAGCTCAGAAACTTGACTGCGGTCCCGTAGGCGCTCAGTAGGGATACTGTACAATGTGCGTCCACCAACGGGGCCAAAGTACAAGTATTCACCATCAGCTGACAAGGCGATACCATCGCTACCCAACGGTACAGTGGTAAGCGGTTGACCAGGACCGGGAATGTAGTAAAGCGGTTGACCCCAGACATATGGAACGAACCCCCTCTCAGCCCTCGTCTCTTTTGCACCATCGAGGTGGCGCCAGCTCTCGCCTGTGCCTAGATCTACGATGATGATTCCATTGCGGCCCTCAGACGATGAGTCGGTGATGTAGGCTACTCCTTTGCCAGAAGCAGAGACGGAAGGTCGCAAGTCGAAGCGGACATCATTTAGGTACGAGTCTGGGAATGCTACCGTGGGTGGGAAGACAATAGTCTGAATCACTGTGTCAGACTCAATGTCTACTCCAACAAGCTTGGGACCGCCAGGAGACGCATTGACTAATGTACCATCTTCAGTCAATGCGCGTCCCGTATCTAAGATCCATAGGCGATCTTGGGGATCCAAGACTACGCTCTGTACGCCGATGAGGTAATTCTGGTAGTTTGCACCAGTCGGCGGAGTTGTTGTGTAGTTGATAGCTCCATTTGGCGGGTTATTAATCTCCACGCTAGGATAGGGTGTCTCGGTGCCGTTAGTCGTGAGCTCTGCCACGGCATACTTGTTATTGGTACCCGTATTTGTGTTGTTAGCATCTAGGCCTGCCGGATAATTCGAGAACTTGCGGCCGCCTTTCGATACGGTGATTCCTATGCTCTGTGTTAGTGGCCATAAATTTGCAACGCTGCCAGAGTGCATTGGTACCAGTAGGCCATTGGTCGTTGTACAGATGCACAATCTCAAGAGCTGGGCCAGCGACACCGGGATCAGAGCGAATGCGCTGTGCACCGGATAGCGCAGGAAGCAAAGTGCTCAACGTCAATACAAGAGGGGACAGCATCATGGACGCGACAAGATTCTGTTGACATGTAGCGACCACGGCACAACGCCTGACAGGCAGTATATATAGCCTCGGAGCATCCAAGCGCGAACTGCAAACATTACCCCAGACGGTACCTGGATATCTGGGCATTGCTAGTCTTCACGTCATGTACATGTCAGGTACCAGGATAAAATCGAGCAACTACCTAGGCATGGACGATCTTTGAGGCTGCATCTAGGGAAGCTACCCGCTTACGGCTCAGGATCGACGGTGCATTTCCCCGCTTTTGTGATGCAATACCATTTGGCGCACCAGCACTTTGTGAGCGGAAATAGTGCCGTGGTTGATATGGATCCTTGCGGATTGCAAAGGTCTTTGATTCTCTCTATTTCACGATCCTTTCCACGATAATGTTTAGCCAACCCACTCTTGCACAACTTCTTTCAAAGACGTGCTATCGGCAGCTCCGCTCCAAACATGCGATTGCTCACTGACTCCTGATTCTGCTATGGTATCGACAGCCAGAGCAGTAACCTTCAATTCCCCGTCATTGAAATCGACTTTGATATCCTTGGTGAGCTTCGTGCCTTTCTTACTGTCCTTGGTTCGAATCGAGAGCCGTGGATCCTGGGTTCTCGTTTGCGCGCGTGAAGCATACTCACCCTTCAGAAGTCTATGCGCAATATGCAGGGAGAGAATCCAGTCGAGATATGACTTCAACTCTGTAACACTATCAAACTTGTGTTGCTGGAACAATCCGATATCGGAAGTCAAAGCGGATGGAAGTGTAAGCTTGTGCTCTGTGCCAAAAGTCGGTTGACCGATGATCGTGCGTGTGACAACGATGAGATTTTCCGGCTGTGCACTGTTGGAGGTGGGGAGGGTCAATGTAGCTTTCCCATCGAAAGGCTTCATGAAAATTTCGAGCAGCTGGTCGGTTGCAGACAGACCCTTTCTTGACGTCGTTTTTAGGCTCTCTACGAGGTTCGCCCAGGATGTCTCACGCGTGGTCTCCAGTGTCGCATCAAGGCCTGCACCCTTCAGAGTCTTTGCGACCAAATCGAGGTAAGCATAGAGTGAGTCAACACCAGCGATGTGGTTAAGTATTGCGAGAAGCGTACGCAGTAGAGGCGGTGGTAGCTTCTCCCGTGTCTGGCCGGTCAATGGAGGTGGAAGCTGCGATCTCCGGTGTAGACGCATGCTGTGCTCATGAGCGAGGAGCAAGCGAAGCGCTTCAGCAATATTGCGAGCGAGCCAGTCGTGCTCATGACCTTCGTTGCTCGCTATAGGATCGTCTCGAGGTATGCAATCAATGAGCAACTTTCGATCCTGGAATGCACTACCCATTTGGGGCGCATCTATGTGGATGACTGAATCCCGAAATGCGACACCATACGCCAAGAGCTGCCTCGTCTCCAAGCTCATTTCATAATACAGCTCTTCCTCGAGTAGGGAGTCACGCGCAAGTTGAATTGACTTCTCGAGAGACCGGGTTGCAAAATCGCCGTCGACAGGGATTTGTGATGTACCTGTAATCTTGCCGTCGATGCTGACTCGCACGCGAAATGTTTTAGGCTTCAACGCAAGAGCTGGATCTAGTATGATACTTCCATCTTTGTCCATCTGGAGAGGTGCGAATCCACGGGCCTTGAAATGGTCGCTAGCTAGAATGTCGTCAGCTCAAATTCAGCATGCGAGTTAATAAGCAGTCCATACCTTCGGGAAGTCCATATCGCACAGCAAAAGGCGCATGGCGCACATTCTGGCGTAGTCGCTGAATAGGCCACCCTTTGTCAGAGACGGACACAATCTCATGCCAATATTTTGTCTCGCGGCGTATCTCTTTCTCCAGGTGTTTTGCGGCCTTTAGTATCTCGTCTACCGACGAATCCAGTGCTCCCATGCGTGCGCCTTGAGCCACTGCCTCTTGTTTGGATGCCAGGTCTTGTAGACGATGCTGCTCTTCTACTTTACGAGTACGGTGTTCATGGTTCTCCTTGCTGATGCCGAAGGAGCCGAGTGGTATGCCCTGGTTCAGGCCTTGATCGCGAAAAGTAGGGCTGAAAAAGTTCAGGCTGCGCTTGTTGGGGTCTTGAGAGAGTACGAGCGAGACGAGATCGAGCGCGTTGGTAGCAGCGAACTTGGCCCATCTATCTTTGGTCAGTTGTTGCATTCGGTATGAAGCATTCGCATCGAGACGTACTCCAGGTGGCTGTACATTTCCTGTCCTGCCTTGAAGACCTTCTCCAGCTGTTCCTGTCGAGATGGCACTTCCTTGTCCTTCTTCTCGTCCTTTGCTCCTTCCTCAGCGTCGGCTGGTACATGTTTGCCCGCATCGATGTCTTCTTGGAGCGACTGTTCCGTGATGTTGCGCAAATGTCCCCGTTCACTGGCCAGCTGCTCGATCTTGAACAGCAAATCGTCCTGCGTCAGCTCCTCCTTCTTTGGGGCTGGCCATGGGCGCAGGGCCACGTTGTTGAGTGAGTCCATGGCGGTTGCGACGAGGTAAACACGGCGGGATAGCTGGGTTGAAGTTGCGTTGCTGTGGTTTGTCCGACGCGGTGGGCCCTTGCATAAAAGGCGTAGCTCTCAGTAGCGGCCGTTGTAGATCCCCGCTTATCGATTGTAGCTTCACCCTACAACCCACGAATCTCGCGCGTTGCACACGCAATCGGCAGGCAAAAGCAAAGTATCCGTCAAATCGTACGGCGGCTTACAAGCAGCTCTCGGGCGTTAGTCTGGCCTTGTGCGGGGACGACACGGTGTCACATGTGCATGGCCCCTTCCCACTCCAGCCACTAACGGCCGTCTCCGATAACCTTAGAAGCTTGGACAAGCAGCTTGTACACTGACAACTCACGGCTCACTGTTCCCTTCACTCTTCTCCATTCCCTTCCATCAATCGAGAAGTATTCAACATGACTACAAGATACCGCGTAGAATGTAAGTCAGAACCATTGCATTGTGCCCAAGAGGTCGGCATAGAGATAAGCACGCTGACTTGACGGCTTCCCGTGTGGCAGATGCCCTAAAAGTGTGTATAAAACACAGTGACTCAACTTCCATCTTCAAGAGACTGACACGTTTTGAAGACCCACAGGAGAGATCAGCTCGTGAGTACCTCGTGTTGCATGACTGACATGTCCAGCTAATGCATGATACAGATAGAGTGGATTAAGGTATTGCTCTATCAACTTGAAAGACGATGCTGGACGACGTCTAATGCCATTCCAGGGCCTTCTAGCTGTACCTTTTGTCTTGCACTCGCATCCCACGGCGGTGTTCGAGCCCAATGACGAGTCAGTCGAGCACCAAGCGAGCATTGCCCAACGGCGGTATGCAGAGATCTTACGAGACGTTGAGGAGATCATCAACGACCACAGTATGCTGCGACCTCAGGCGGGCTCATACGGCCTGCGACAGACTTTCGGGGCTAACCCAATGCAGTTCAACACCAGAAGGACGGGAAACCTGACAGATCGAAGCTGAAGCTTCTCGTTCCAACAGTAGCGAATTTCTTCACGTCCCTAGCGCTGCACGACGCTTTCATCTGGCAAGATCAAAGGCGTTTCATCAGCCACCGACGATTTGTCCCCCCTTCTTTCAACGACGTGCGTCTAGTTCTCAATACAGCTCAAGTGATGAGTCTCATCCGTAATGGCCCACTCGAACTCGTGACCTTTGACGGAGATGTCACGTTGTATGACGATGGCAAGGACTTGACAGAAGACAATCCCATCATTCCGAAGATACTGGATCTCATGCGCCGCGGATCAAAGATTGGCATCGTTACAGCTGCGGGGTATACAGAGGCAAAACCTTACTACGGCAGACTGTATGGACTCCTGGACGCTATCCAGGCTTCTGACCTGCCCCTGGAAGCTCGGCAGAATCTCATCATCATGGGCGGCGAGAGCAACTTTTGCTTCAAATTCGACGAGAACAGTCCAGTCCTGCTGCGCCTGATTCCCAGAGAGGAATGGCTGCTCAAGGAGATGCTCTCGTGGCACGAATCGGACATCAAAGACTTGCTTGATCTGGCAGAAGCGTCTCTAAGGGACACGGTTAGGAACTTCCGTATGGAGGCAGATATCGTCCGGAAGGAAAGAGCAGTAGGCATTGTACCCAAGGGCGGGCACAAGTTCTGCCGCGAGACGCTCGAAGAGACGGTTTTGATCGTGCAGAAGATACTTGTAGGTCTTGAGTAGATGCGCAATGTTTACGATACTAACTTTGCTAGGAAATATCTGAAGTCGGCCAGCGCCTCCCATTCTGCGCCTTCAACGGTGGCAACGACGTGTTTGTCGACATTGGAGACAAGTCATGGGGTGTTCTAGCCTGCCAGCGAATCTTTGGAGGAATTGAAGGCAGCAAAACGCTGCATGTAGGAGACCAGTTCTTGAGTGCTGGAGCAAACGACTTCAAGGCGCGATTGGCGTGTACGACGGCGTGGATCGCGAATCCGCAAGAGACGTGCCAGCTGCTCGATGAGATTACCGAATTGGACGAGGTGCACCAGCGCAAGACAAGATGAAGACGTGCACGATCAGGTTGTGCATGGCAATGACATCAGAATGCTCCGGAAGCTACGGCAATAGGGGCAAGCAGGTTGCGTGGCAGATTGACTTCTGCAGGGCATATGGCTACAGCATGTGTTTGATGAGTGTCAGCGAGGAAACGACCGGCGCCTAGATAGCCGTTGGAGAGGATTGATAAAGGGTACCAATAAATAGATATGCGGAGGCAGATGGCGACATACACGATGTGCGCTCGGAACGGCTCTTCTGCAGTATGCCCTGACCCTGACCCTGACCCTGACTCGGGCGGGCGACCCACAGCATTCTCTGGTACACAGTCGCGCTAGAATGCCGTCGGTGACGCGGAAAAGGCACGCCTTCACTCGCAGCTGCACGACGGTTTTTTGACGCGCGTGTGTTTCGTGAGCGTCCTGTTTTTTCCGTGTGTTTGAGGGACAGGACGGGCTGGGGTTCTGGGGAAGGTTCGAGGCTGACCCGCCGCATCCGCTGCGCCTCTCGTGTCGTGCAAGGCGCTGATCCCTGCTAACCGTCGTGTAATCCCTGGCCCGTACTCCGCTTCACGAAAGCACCTCCTGAGCTTCCACCCGCCTGCGGCTTCTGCGACCCTCTCTCATCTATTGCCGCGTCGCTCCCAGCCCTCAATTGCCTCCACTCCAGCTCAACCCGCGTCGGTCTGCCACACATCGCAATCTGCCATACGAGCGTGTAAACAAGACATCGCAATGGGCTCCAACAAGTTCTCTTTCAAGCCACTGACGCTTGCGCCCATCAACTTCTCTCTGACCGAGGGCACTTCGATCCCTGCGCCGCTCGACAGCCCGCCCGACTCACCTCGTCCTCCCACGCCAGGCAAAGGTCCGCTGTCGTCGCACCCCACCCCAAAGTCGCCCGGCTCGCCGCCGCAAACAGAGTCGCCGCCCCCAGGCAAAGCGTCCGAGGACTCGACGGCCAGCCCACAATTGCAGCAGACCCGCACTAGCGATGCGACCAGCACCATGTCACCCACGAGCCCTTCGAACAAGCGGCCTGCATCCGTTCGCAAGTTCCTCGGCATTCGCACGCTATCGTCAAACGACAGTTTGAAGTCGGAGAGGCCAGGCTCGCCAGCCACAATAAACAGCCAGGCACCGAGTCTGAACAGGCGGAAGAGCGGCAGCTGGTTCGGCAAGAGAAAGACATTCGCCGTCGGGTCAGTGCCAGAAGGACACGCCGACCCGACAACCTACTCGAATGGCCGCACCGTGTCTCAGCCCTCCGTACCCGCCGCGCAGGCACCTAAGCCGAAGGGTCCGCCGCCCCCAGCTCTGCCCGGCCTCAGCTCCTTTGGTGTCAACGAAGACACGCTGAGTCTTGGTGCCGACGACATGTTCAAAAACATCGGAAAGGCCGACGTGCCAAAGTCGACAAGGTGGTAGAAGGAAGGAGGCATGGTATTAGTAATGGGGGCATGTTCATGATGCATTTCTAATGGGTTTCGAGTTTAATGTCCTTATCGTTATACCTTTCATGGGCCACAGGTTGGAGTTTTGAAAAGCTGTGGCATCGTTATTTTTTGGCTTGCATGTGCACAACGATACCCCAGTCGATACAGTATAGCGATGAAGTGGCACGTATGAGTGCGTCCGAGATGAGATCTTGTGACGACTGGGGACGACGATGGGTTTGGTGGCCTTCTATTATTCTGGCTTTACATATCACACTCTGCTAGCGTTCACTTCAACGATGGATGTTTGGCCGCGGCGTCTTGTACCGCCGGTCACTATAAATACACATTCTTATTACCACAGACGACTCTGCGCCATGTGTTGAAACTATATTAGACGTCAACAAGGCAGGATACGTACCCCACGTGGCGCGGACCACGCGCGTTGCTGCGGTGGGCTAGCGCGAAACCCTGATCACAACAAACATTGCATATGCGGGAACGGGTGCATCAACACCAACCCTTATCGCAACCGGTCGACAGCCGTAGCCAACTGCCAAGTAGCATAACGGCGAACAATTGCAGCACAATTGCGACGACATAACATATTATGGCCGACCCGGGAATGTTCTCGGTGCGCCGTCAGGTGAGCCCCCCCATGTCACAGCCTTACCCCCTCTTGTCGCATCTCCTAATCACCCGCGTAGACTTTAGGACCAGTAAACAATAACTCATCTGCAATTCCGATGCCAGCCTCAGCCATGAAGCGCTCAAGCTCTATCAACAACATGAATCAGCCTCAATTCCCTCCCAACCACGCGCGATCGAAAAGTGGGAGTAGAATGTCCCTCGCGCCTGGCCGTCCGAGCCAGCCCCTCTTTCCACGCTCATCCTCCGGTACAGACCTCGCCCAGGGCTTCCAGTCGGTACATCGCAACTCCACAAGCAATTTCGGCGCGAGCAGTGCGCGCAAGAGTTTTGCGCCCGGCGCCTCCATCTTCCAAACGCCTGCGCCGCCTTCAGGACCCAACTTCGAACAGAGCGCACAACGGAGGAGCAGTGTGTTCAAGTCGCGGCCTTCTCATGTATCTGGACAGTCTGGCGTAAAGCAGTCTTTCTTCCAAACGGCGCCCATGCCACCCGTCCCTCCAACGGACCCCCGACGACTCAAAGACGCAAGCACCCGCCAGCACATGGCGCAGGAGCTGCTCGAATACCTGACACAGAACAACTTTGAGATGGAGTCCAAGCATGTCCTCTCAGCAAAAGCCATGACTTCGCCCACGCAAAAGGACTTCAATTGCATGTTCCAATGGCTCTACAACCGAATCGACCCTAGCTACCGCTTTCAGAAATCCATCGACCAGGAGGTGCCAGTACTATTGAAGCAGATGCGCTACCCTTTTGAAAAGTCCATCATGAAATCTCAGATCGCCGCTGTTGGTGGAAACAACTGGTACACCTTCTTAGGTCTGTTGCACTGGATGATGCAGTTGGCGCGTTTGATGCAAGCATACGAGGCCGGTACCTACGACGATGCGTGCTTTGAGGCCGGTTTCGATGTCTCTGGAGACCGCATCATCTTCGACTTTCTGTCGGACGCTTACAGCACTTGGCTATCAGCAGAAGATGACGACGACGACGAAGAAGCACAACAGAAGCATATGGAGCCTCACATCAGGACCATGGCTGCCAAGTTCGATGCCGCAAACGCACAGCATCACGAGCAAGTCAGCCTTTTAGAGGCTGAGCACAAGTACCTCCAAGACCAGATCGAAGAGCTAGGAAAGTCCGGCCCTAGGATCCAGAAGCTCGAGGAGCAGATTCGCATCCTAGAAGAAGACCGCGTCAAGTTTGAAAACTACAACAACTCTATGGAAGGAAAGGTCAAGAAGTACACTGATCGCTGCTCGTTCCTGGAAAAGTCGATTGAGGAGATTGAAGCAGAACTTGAAGCATCAGAGAAGGAACAGCAAGAGCTACAAGCTATCATTGACGGTCGGGGCATGACCATTGCGGATATTGACCGCATGGCAAATGAGAGAGACCGCCTTGATACTTCTCTCCAGGCAACAACAGTGCGACTGGAAGAGTCAAAGAAACGGGTTGCGGAAAAGGAAATCGCTGCGTCTCGCAAACTGGATGAACTCGAACAAACCATTGAACGATACAACAATCTAGGATATCAGATCGGTGTCATCCCCTCTACAGCTGTCAACGCCAAGGGGCAAGACTATGAGCTTGTCCTCACCATCACGGACGGCCCCAACTTCTCAGGATCGCAAATGGGTGGCTCGTCGCAAGACGCATCAGATCGCCTTCTCCACGATGCAGGCACAGGGTACTCACCCGCGCATCTCCTCAACCTGGACCTCCGAGGCACAGTAAAGGCCAACATAATCGCACTCCGCAAAGAGATTGCTGAACGACGCAATCAAGCTTTGGAAGCCGACATGAACAACCACGACCTCCTAGACAAAATCAAGGAAGCCATGGACGACAAACAAGCAGAAGTCGAAGCCCTAGGCCATCGCGTAGCACAAGCAGAAGAAGAGCTAGAGAAGTTACGCGAGATTACGAATACGCAAAAGAGTCAATCTGACGCACAGATTGAGCGCATGGAAAAAGAGCTGGGTCGTATGCGCAGCGGACTAGGAGAAAGCGTGCAGCTGATGGTGCAAAGAGAAATGGCTGTCAACATCGAGTAAGTCTTGGACCCATGCACTTTTACCGGTGACCCTGAACGATAACTAACTGTGTACACCAGGTACGAACAACTTCAGCTCCGCGCTAATGCCCTCCGTGAAGAACTCCATACGGAAATTGAGCGCATGCTTGACGACATTGTGCGCTTCAAACTTCACGTACAAAAGAGTTTGGAAGAGTACGAGCAGTTCATTGCCGATGAGGTGGAGCGTAGCTGTGAGGAGCAGGATATGCTTGCCGAGGATGAGGACGAAGAGATGGCGGAGGAGGCGTAAAGCACACGGCGTAAAGCATACTATGTGTGATGAGAGCGATGAATAATGAGCTGACAATGAGCTTACGATGGTGTTCTTGGTGTTGGAATCTCGTTGTTGTATAAGACGGCTTGTCCAGTACGATTTCAACGTTGGGCGTTTGCAAGGGTTATTTTGGGGGTTGTGTTTTACGGATACCTTTCTGAGATACCTCTTGTCTTTTTGCTGACCCAATTTTTGAGTTTATTGTTTATATATATATATATCGTGTATCTGTTCTTGATCGTCGTCTGCTCGTCTTCATGGTATGGATGCTTGTATGGCCCCTCCTTGCTTCCTGTATAGCTACTGGGTATCTAAAGTCTTGTTTCATCAATGGCCCATTTACTACCCAGCCATCAATCCCCTCCCGCTCGTCATCATCATATTGCTCAGCAACTCAACTTGACTCTTGAGCCCAGCCATCTCTATGGACTTTTCTTTGACCTCCTTCGTCCTCTCCGTGAGTAGTCGCTTCAATTCCGCATTCTCGCGCCTAAGTTGATTGACTTCCATCTCAATCACCTCAGGGGGAGTTGATGGCGGTGGTGGCGGGACACGGTCGCCGAGCGCAGGATCAATACGCAAGTCTTTCCGAGTGGGCGGGAAGGGCACCGAGAGCCTGGGGGCGTAAGCAGCGGGCTGCTGGTATGTATTTGGCGGTTGCTGTATGTGTCGGTGGTTGAGTGGGTTTACGTCGGTTCCACTACTTTGGGTCGTGTCATGTGCTTCGGATTCAGCGTCGTCGTCTGAGCTGTTGAGGCCATCACCCACTTGTTGTCCGGCTGCCTTTCTTGCTCTCTTTATTTGCGCTCGTATGTTGTATACGTCGCGCTTAAAGATGTGTATACCGGGCAGCCTCGCTTGCAAGACATCCACAGTCCTCCCAACGCCTCGGTCGCGGCCCTGGTTTGGTTCGCCCTTGCGTAGCATCTCTTGTTCGACTATCTTCCACACGAGACCCCCACGTTCGAGACTGTGTTGTGGCTTCCTCGGTGCCTGTACAGACGTGCTTTCCACATCCTGGGCGCCGTCGGCTTCGGCATCCGCGTCGTCGAGAGTGTCCTTGATGTCTGAGAGGCTCAACCTGGCGAGTTCCTCCTTGGCCGTGACGCCTCCCACCCCAATGCGCCCACCAACAACTCCCCACGTCCTCTTTCGCTGTACGGCCCATCCCGCGCTTTGACGTCCAGGATGGTTGTGTTGCGCTTCGCCCACACGCAGCAGCCACGTGCCGTCGTGCTGCCTCCTGCCCTCGATCCACATCTTGCACCCCGTCTTGTAGCTGACCCTGTTCTTCCTGACCCTCGTCTCAGCTGTGAGCTTGTGTGTGTTCTTGGGCTGTCCATAGCAGACACAGGCGAGCTTGATGCGGGACCGGTTCTTAGCCGTGGTATTGATGGACAGGGCGTAGCCGTTCTGCGCGGCGTGCGACTGGGCATAGTCGTGCAGTGCTTGCCATGAAGCGTGGACTGAGCTCGAGGGCGGGAGCATAGCAAACTGACTGTCGGTCGCTTCGTTGCTGCCCGGTGGCGGTGCTGCCGTGTTCTGGCCGCCCACATAGCAGGTTTTGGGCGTGTCGTCTGGGGAGTAGCTGTCTTCGCGCTGTTGGCCGTGGCTGTTCATACTCGTGGCCTGTTGCGCGTCGGTCGTCGTGGGCTCGCAATAGGCTGCCATGCTGCTCTGTTGGCTTGCACCATGGCGATGCGACGCTGCAAAGCCATCGTACGCTGGCTGGGCGGTCGCGATTGCGTTGCCGTGACTATACGCACACGCGCGATCGAGGTTGTGATGGCGGTTGAAGGTGGCTGCCATGGTCGGCTTGATATGGAGCAAGCTCTTGCTACGTTCCGAATCACTTCAGCCGCGGGCCTTCGGCGCTGCTGTGCAGCTTGTCCGTCATCTGCGCACGTCGTGAATTTCCTCGAGATATGAGCAATTTGCCTTTGGTCAGTGCTACCATACATGGGCCGAAGCATCGAGCCTCACATGTATCCATTCTTGGTACGTCGCCCTGTGCCCATCAGCCGATTGGACGGCCCATCGGGACTTTGCGCATCAAGGTTGCTGTCACGACACAGCAAAGCAAATATCATTGCAACATCAATTCACCACTACTCAAGTCGGTCTGGGAAGCATTCAACGTGTTTTCTCTCGTCTTCATGATTCTCTTGTGCCTCAACATAGATCCAAATAGCTCTATTCCCTCATAGTAACGTTCACCCACATGTCCTTGATTTCCCAGAGCCCGAGGGAGTTGAATATCTTCCACGGCTCCAATGGATTGGCCAATGATAGATCAAAGTGTCTCAACAATTCAAAGACGCACTTGTATATCTCGATCAACGCAACGTTGCGTCCCAAGCAGAGCCATCGACCGTAGCCAAAGATCATATCGTTAGTCTTTGTCATCCGGGCTAAGCGTGCCTTCTCGCCCGCATCGCTCGTGTCAATGAGCCAGCGCTCGGGACGAAATGTGCCGCAATCCTCGCCGTAAAGGGAGCGGTTGTTACGATGCATTGTCCAGGCCGAATAGCCTACCAAAGTCCCACCGGGGATGAAGTGTTCCTTGTTGTTAATGGTCACGACGTCTCCTTCATCTGGCGTAACCTTTGAGAAGAGATTGGCGACGGGCGGATGCATCTAAGAGCATGTCGTCAGTGCATGTTGACACAATGGCTGATTCCAGTGGAAAGAGAATCAGACTTACCCGCATCCCTTCCCGAATAACAGCTCCCAGGTACGGCAGTCGGCGCACTTCTGCATCGGAGATGATACCGGGAGATGCAGGCGCCGTGCCAGCCTTGACTGACTCATCTATCTCGGCCTGGAGCTTCGCATACACACGTGGATGGCTCATGACATAGAGCAGGATAGCCCGAATAGCAGCAGCCGTAGTGTCAGACCCAGCAAGAATCTGCTCGAACACCTCTTGAACTAAGCATGAGTGGTCAGTGAACGCTCAGGCATCTTAGATCGTAGCCTTCAGGGCCACCTACAGAGATCGTTTCCAGAGAGACCGTGACGAACGAATGACGCGAACATATCAGACTTGTCATCAGTTGACTTCGTCATCCTAGAGTTGACTATCTTTCGTGCTTGAGCCATCATGTTACCGAAGCCATTGGCGTCCTTTTCCGATGGACTGATGGCAGGTCCGATGATAGGCGTATCTCTGAGCCAGGCTATACCCATTGCAAAGGCCGTGTTGCCAATTTTCAGACCTTCTTCGCTCGACTTCAGGTAATTCTGGAGATCCTTGTCGGCTTTCAGGTCACCAAATGCTTGTCCAAGGCCAACATGACTGATAACATCTAATGTGAAGAAGGGTATCTTCTCGGCTAGATCCATCGGTTTAGATTGTTCTACTGATGCTGTTGGTACTGCATACTTGTGCACCAACTCCACAAGTTCTTTGACATGAAGATCGATTGAGGGCTCTAACGTTGGGTTTTCTTTACCAGAGTACTGCAGCATGTTAGACGGTGTGCAACCTAACGACTAATCCAGCTTGTAATTGCAGCGGGTGGGCGAATTCATCACTCAAGTTGTCATCCACGTACCCCAGATGTCATCTTCTTGCGTCTTGCATCATGGCTATCGTTGTCGCAATCTGTAAAGACATTGTCTTTTCCCGTCTCGAACCGAGCACAGTGGTAGTACCAAGATGACCTCGCATACGGTGAACGCACCGCATTGATCCGTGCCCAAAATTCTGGGTCCGATGTTATGAGATGGTTGGGTGCAACTCTAGCAATCGGCCCTACAGAAGCATTAGCATTGGGTCATGTAGCAATCCTCCCTTCCTGATACGCACCGTACTTCTCGCACACTTCGCCGTAGTATCTAGGAGATTGGCCGCTAATAACAGCTCTGGAATGCCACAACCAAGAGAATCCCGTCGTCCTAAAAAGTGCGCGTACCAAGTCAGTCCATGTCTCACCTGTGATTGGTACATGGACGCCTCTTACCTAGGTCCGGCGAAATGTCTCAGGCGCAAGTACTGTCGTATGCGACCGACAGCAAAGAACGCCACAGCGACAAAAGCGATGGCGTACAGGCGCCGCGAGACATTGTCGAAAGCTGATTCGGACGGAATGGTTTCCATGGCTTGCTTGGAGTGGAGCTAGAGGGCAAGGGTTCAAGGTCGCAGACAATGAACAGGTCTCATGAAAGTCGTTCCTACAAGTGGGGTATCCCTCACTGAAGGCGCGTGCGGCGTTGTGTACTATGTAGCTAGTGGAGAGAGCGCACCGCTGCAGGCTTATATTGGATAATCGTTGGTCAGTTTGATCGGTCAACAATTGACTGGCTGCTTGGGAAAGATGCGGAGCATGCAGCGGCATGGTACCCAGAGCCGTGAGTTACTAATAGCTAGGTGCGCCCCACCAGCAAACGACAGCTATGGCGGAAGCCACGGCGACATTTGGGACCCATGTCCGTTCTTTATCGAGAGTAGTGAGAATTTGAGTAGTTTGCAAGCGCCATGGCACGTCAGGATTGCGGGCGCTAGTGTCGTGTTGTTGATTTTTCGGGTTCCCTTGCTGAATGAGTGCACAAGCCGAGTTGGCGAAATACCGCCGCAGTACTGTACTGCAGCGACAAGCCTTGTCCTTCATAGAGCAAAGCTTCCGCATTGATGGCTACTGTAGTTAATCGATGATGGGCGACGTGAGGGGAAGTATCCATGTACGAACTGCATGTGAGACGTATACTGACTTCGTGCCACCCCGTCTAGATTGCACTACAGCGGATCACTCTGCGGAAACAACCCCGGTCCAAAAACCGTGTTGCAGCTCGGAAAGTCCAATATGCACGAGACACCCGCGATCTAGGTCCACAGCCACGTTTTCTGATCTGTGTGCACATTTGGGTGGATACAGCACTTCGGATGTCAGAGCCCTTCTGTTCTAGCTTTGAGGAGAGAGTCATCTTGCCCGTTCTTCCACCCTGCCATTTTCTGCCTGACAGTATCCGCCGTTCTAGACAATTCTCCAATTGCGAAAAACCTCATCCTGAATCTGGCTGTTCCTCTATCCATAATAATTGCATTTTGAGAGTCATCACAAGGCGTTGGAGCATTTACAGACGTTCGTTTATCAGATTGTCCCAGTTCGTCCCGGGCCGTTACTGCACGATTGAGGCTCAGTCGCGGCTACCAACCCTTGACATCGATTGCCGCGAATAGTACTTATAACAGCACCGGCGCGCCAAAGAATATTCCTCGGGCAGTTTTCATTCGGTTTCATACTCAAGTCGATTGAAAAAATTGAACAAAATCTCAGCGATGGCAGACTTTGGAAAAGGTAAAGAGAGACAAAGAGAGGGTGGGCCAGCAACACCGGCAGTTGATAGTCTCACAGCTGGGGACGGCTCCACAGGCTTCGAGTCCGAAACAGCTGCACTTGCCCTACCGTCGACAAATCCTTCTGCCTCGGCAGGTGCACCACAAGGTTCAGAACGAGCACCTGCTGCATCAACAAACTCAACAGAACTTCCTTCAGAGACTGTACAAGGACCCGCACCAACTGCTCAGCTCGTGAATCCACTTGTTTTAGTTGTAAGTATACCAGGACTTTTCTTACAGCCAGACTATTTCCTCGAAATCCAAGCGCCACAAAGTACTCCTTGCCATTTAGCATTACATCGAGCATCATCTAACGTTAGCAGGATAGTACAGATGACACAGACTCGGCTCTGGGCGACGATGATGCCATTAGTGACACAACATCCATCGCATCGTCTATCCACAGAGGACGCTTCGAAAACGGACGCCGATACCATAAGTATCGTGAGGGCGAAAACGATTATTGGGGTCCCAACGACGAGGTTCAGAACGACCAGCTTGATATTGCACACCACATGTTCCTCATTCTGCTTGACCAGAAACTACATCTAGCGCCTATCAAAGACCCGAAGAGGGTCTTGGATCTAGGGTGCGGTACGGGAATCTGGTGTATGGACATGGCTGATGGTTTGTCTCTTCCAGTCCCTTATTTTACCAGAGACGATCCCAAAGATACACCTATCCTGACAATATGACTAACTCCATCTATAGAATACCCTGGCGCCGAGATCCTTGGCGTTGACCTCTCCCCCATTCAACCCCAGTTCACTCCTCCGAACTGCAAGTTTGAAATAGATGATGTCACTCTTCCATGGACGTACTCGCAGTCCTTTGACTTCATCAACATCCGCTCCCTGTATGGCTCGATCGGCGATTGGCCCGCGCTCTACACGCAATGCTATAACAATCTCGAACCAGGCGGCTACCTCCACGAACTGGAAATGAGCATCCAATTCAAATCCGACGATGGCACACTGACGAAAGATCACGTCTTATCCACTTGGAGCGATCTCTTCCATGAGGCATCAGAGCGTTTTGGTAAATCCTTCTACGAGGTTTGGAATCTATCGACATATATCCGTAACGCGGGATTCGTGGACGTTGAGGAAAGAGTGTACAAAGTCCCTGTCAACGGATGGCCGGCAGATCCTCATATGAAGGAGTTGGGAAGATGGAATTTGTTGCATATTACTCAGGGAGCTGAGGGATGGGGATTGTATCTGCTGACAAAGGTCATGGGCTGGTCAGTGCAAGAGGCTCAAATTTTCTTTGCCAAGTTCAGGGCTGGAGTCAAGGAGAGGAAAGTACATGCTTATTTCGAGGTCGTGGTAATACACGCAAGGAAACCTTGATTAGCAAGAGGATGTCTGAAAGGCGAGTGGTGGAGCTTATACGCTTAACGCTGTTGTTGGCAAGGCATAGATGTGTAATACCCAAGGATCGTACAGAACACTGTTGTTTGGAGAATCGGTGTTATCGTGATGCGTTGTTTAATTAATGTATTGCTTTAAGCCAGGGTATACGCATAGGGGATATCAATCTGAACCAAAAACCTACCTTGCCTCCGTTGCTGCTGTGTTACAAAGCCTACTTGTGGTCAGGAGGTGGGGTGGCCGTTTTGGGAACCTGTCCCGACGTTGGGTCGGGAAGATGCGACACACTAGGAAGATCAGCCACCGCTGCAGATTGCTCTTCCTTCTCTTTGCTATCTCTTATGATGAGTGGCTCTTGTGGCGGAGAAGCAGGCGTTATCTTCCCGCTCTCCCTTGTCTTGGCTTTTGATTGATCACCAAAGATGGAGTCGGTGTCCTCGTTAATGGAAGAAGCGCTGCTAATACGCCCGGCTTGTCCTTCTTCAGCAGCGAGACGCTCCTTCTCGAGACGAGTCTCGCGACCACGCTTGTGGCAGTACCAGAACACGAATAGCAGTACTGATTAGGTTAGCTCAATTCAACAACGACATAGACACAAAGTACGTACCGAAGACTGCCAAACTCATGATGACGTTGGTTCCAGTTGCCAAAGCAGGAAACCTGAACTTTAGGAAGTTCACAATACTTCTCAGCGCCGTCGCGACGGCACCTTGCGCAGACACTAGCGACTTCAAACTCGGTACTTTCGGAAGCATAGATCTCTTGCTCTTGGGCTGGCTGGATCCAGAAGCTGCCTGTGCATCGAAGCCGGGCTTCTCCGCCGACGCAGCCATGAGCTCTGGACCGAGAGTTGCTGTGAGCTTGGCCGGCAAGCTCTTGACCAGGTTCTGTAGGAAAGGAGGAAGGTTGCCGTACATCTTCTTGAGTTGATTGTCGTAGTCTGTAAAGAGCTTCTCGAGGTCGTTATAGGCGGTTGGTACTCCGTTGATGAGATCTTTGAGAACTTGGGTAAACTTGTTGAGGAGCTCTTCCGACTCCTTGCTAAAGCTGAAGACGCGATTGTTGACAGCTGAGAGATTGAGTTGATCCAGTATATCAGTCAATTCCTTGTCCTGTTTCTGCGCATCGGTCAGCTCGGCAGCCTTGGCGGATTCGGCGGCAGCGAGGAGGTCGTCTGCGAATTGAGATCTGTCCTTCTCCGTGACCACTATTTTCTTGTCCTTTGATGCCTTTTCTCCATCTTTCTTGTTAAATTTGGGAAGCTGGAAGTAGGACATGACACTCTTTTTTCTGCCTAGCCCACCCTCCGCAGTCTTCCCTTTGCCCTTTTCGCTAGTGTCAGCAGTCGTCTCAGGCGGGCTCATGGGAAGTGGCACTTTGTCTGCGTTATCTAGGAGCGCCGTCTGTGCATCTCTGCCGACCTTCTTCTCGCCATTGCCATCGACAACTTCGGTACGCTGAGGGAGGGGCGGGGGAGTGCCCTCGGGCTCCGAAGCGATGGCGGCAAGTCGCTCAAGAAATCTTTGGTCTTCGGCGTCTAGGACGGGGTCGCTGCCTACTTCTTCGCTGGCATCGGCGACAGTTGGTGCTGGTGGGGAGGGTACGGGGCCACTCAGTCCGGCGGCGGGTTCTTCGATCTTGGGGACAGCGGCGTCCTCTACTTTGGGTATGGCAGATTCTGAGATTTTGGGAGGGTCTTCGATAGGTGGCGCGCCGGGTTTCTGTTTGTTTTGAGGGAACAGCTGCTTTGACTGTCGGCGCATCTTCTCCAGGTAGGATGCCATGGTGAATGTCGGCAGGGAATGGGAACACCAGGAGGTCGTGCTTTGGAATGGGCGGTTGCAGGGTATGTGATTTATGTTATGTCTGATGTGAACTTCTTGGGGGCGATCTTCAAGGCTCGGCAGCACTCAACATGTCGTCGTGGGCGCGGTAGAAGCCCTGATTGACGTCCCGCGTTTACAGGCGTTACGTCATGGGCAGGGGTGCCGTTCTAGAGCTCGCGCCACGCTTCGAGGGGCGACAAGCGCGACACTCCTGAACTCCACAAACATTACAAGAGCTCGCGTAATAAGATTGTGACCAACCTGCGTCCACAGGCCCGGAATTACCCAATCTTTGCGTCCCTCTCAATAGCTTCCGGTCGCTGCCAGTTCTGGCTGTTCTATCCCACTAACCTCTCACGGAACGACGTCGGCGAATCACTAGCCTCCCACACTGGGCTTTCCGCTTCATTGTCACTATTCATTCAGAAGACCTCGGACGCTCGATATATGCTTAATACTTCCTGTATTATTCCCTTAACACAAACATATGCTCTCTTCTCTTTCTCTTTCTCGCTCGTCTTAATGTACAGGGTCAGCTATTGGTCATCTTCCACACGCTTTTCGATTCTGGCTTAACATGCGATGGGCAGTTCTTTGGAGCCGGGCTTAGGTGGCTGCATTACATTGCTTTGGCTTACACAAGAGCTGTTATCAGCGAATCAATCGTCTCTGAGCTGACTTCAGTCCGCTGGCAGGCAACGCCAAGATTGAGCAGTGTCTATCAGGGTATTTGAGATGACGAAGACTAGGCGTTCTTCAAACTGATGATCACACCTTATTTCCCTTCGTGAGAGATACTGTGTTTTGCTTCTTTGTAATACACTTGGCATCTCTTATCCTGTTAATGGCGAGGATCCGGGTTACGCACTACACTAGGACCATGCTCATCTCGTTAGCCCGATCGTGTTCCACACGGGGATATCGGTCGCAGGTAATCTTGATGGTGGATGTCGCTCGAAAAGTAGATCTGTTGGTGCTGACGACCTTCCACTTCAGCTTGCTCCCTGATCACTCCAAAGCCATAACATCTGAACTTCTGAGGACATCACATAACCTTACAAGGGCAGCCGGCATCTTTTCAAGCTCTGACCAAAATGGCTACCAGATTTCAGAATCGAACACTCACCATCTTTTCTCTCTCTTACATGTAGCCGACGAGGGGTAATTCAGACCACGTACGTCCTGTTGCTGCTAACACCCCCTTCGCTGTATAAACGATATTTCACTCGGTTTCTCCGTCTCTCTTCCACCCCACTCGACTGCTACTACAATTTCGGAGTGACTCAATACCAGTTCAGTCAGTCCTCAACAGCTACGATAGTCTCATTGAAGCCATCGACCAAACGAAGTTGCAATCTGGCTGTCCACTTTTACCTTCGGCGACTACAGCTTGCTGACGCGCACGCTCACTATTTGCCTAATAGACTACCACGTGGTGATCCAAAGTCTCAATTCAACACACGCAGTCACAAATTAGGCGCCGTATCCCACTTCACAGTATCAATACTATACATATCACGGCCGTACCTAGCGCTACAGCCAACAACATGACTGACGAAGCTCTGATCTTCGACGGTAAGTACTTTGGTGTTTGCCTTGTCGACACCTCTTACTGACGCAATGTTATAGGCGACAAGCCGCTTGGCCACAGCAATTTTGAGGAAGACTTGAGCGACGATGATGACCTTGTTGACGGCACTGCCCAAGCAGCTGACGATGTAAGCAAAGAACTTGACCATCAAATTATAGCTGATCTCAGACAGTCCGATAACGGTGACTTCAAGCTCGACGGCTTCGACGATCTTGGTATCTCCCAAGATGAGGATGAGGCAGATGACTACGATCCAGAATATGACGACGACATCGCCGGTCAGAAGCGCAAGCGCGCCCGGCTTGATGGTTCCTCCAAGACTACCACGTCCCTCCAACGCTCTGTCATCAGCGCTCAGACCGACAATGCAGAGGCCTTCATTCTAGACGAAGATAACGATTTCTCATACCAACAGCCTTCCCGCGTTCCGGGTACCTTCGGCCGTCATAACCGTCGTAAGGGAGAGAGTCTTCCAGCGTACCACAAGCGTGTCTCTCATGAACTAGATTCTGATGACGAACTAATGATGCAGATGCGTGAGAAGGGCTTCAGTGACCGCCAGATTGCCGACAAGCTTGCTAAAGATGGCCGTGTTCGCTACGATCAGAAATCCATCTCTACGCGCATCATGCGCATTCGCCTTGCACAGGCTGACAATGTTGACTTCCTTCTGAAGGAAGGCTACAAGGAATGGGAATACGCCGATGTAAGTTCTTCCTGAATCCGCTTTCACCTTGTGACTCCGTTAATGCAGATGCCTAGGACGAACTCCTAATTCAAGCTCATGCTCTTGCAGACATCGAGATCAACTACGAGATTGAACGTATCCGTGCCTGGCGCTTCCGCAAAGTGTCCGAGTACATGCGCCGGCTTAACAAAGAGGCTCTCTTCTCTGCTCTCGCATGTCGCGAGCGCTACAATGCCATCATCGAAGGCACTGCTCGTATTCCCACAGAGGTGGATGATGATCCTGACGCCCGTCGTGCAGAAATGGAAAACTTCCGTATGACCCGCGAGAAGACCCGCAACGAAGAGAAGGCCAAGCAGGACGCCCTAGAAGCTGCTGAAGCTAAAGCTAAGAACGAAACCAGATTCCGGAATGCTCAAAAGGCTGAGGATATCGCCAACAAGCACGCTAACAAAGAATCGGAGAAGGCTCATCGCGCGATGACCCGCGCTGCTCAAGCCCAAATTCGCGCTGCTCGAGCCATAGAGAACGTCAATGCCAAATCTCAGCGCAATGCCCAGCTGAAGAACCAGAAGAAAGTCCGAGAGACCAAGAAGCCCGTCGCAAACAAGAATGCTCCTTTTACTCTCGCCAACGTCAAGAAGGTGCCTTCCGAGACCCCCGACCCACGCTCTTACCTCTTGGTCTCCGATCTGAAGAAGATCTGCGAGGAGCGCGGTCTAGACCTTCCGAGGAAGAAGAACAAGGCTAGTTTTGTGCAAGCACTTATCGATGCGGATGACGAGTACAGCCAGAACGACCTCAAGAAGATGTGTCGCGCCAAGGGCTTGAACGCGAACGGCAGTAAGTTACAGATGAAGCATGAGTTGGCATTGGCTGAGGCCCGAACTTATGGTTCCTACGGCAAAAACACTATAGCTGCGGCTACAGAGGAAGATGGTGATGATGAGATGGACATGAATGAGGAGTAGAGTGTGTTTCTTGATCGGTTGAGGCTTGGATGATCTCGGAGTATTGGAAATGGAGTAATGAGGGATGGAGGACACGGAAAGCCACGGCAGGATAGACAACACATACAGTGCTTGAGCACAGTTAATGGGGATGTAATCCTTACAGGAAATCTGAGTTGGGTAGTTCACTTCTAGAAACCCATATTCATGCTTGATCAATTCAGCTTTGTCTTTGTGACCATCGCCCTCAACCAGATTATTTCACAATTAGTGGTAGTCATAATAAAGAACTATTATACATGTACGTGTCCATCCCTAATCAAATCCGTTTGTGTTTCGACAACATCCAGAACTCTTGATACTGACAATGCACCAACAGAGTCGTGTCTCCTGGATATCAACCCCCGGAAACTTCGCAACGGTGTCGAATCACTACCAGCACTCCCACTTTTGACCACCCATCGCTACCAACCGATTGAACAGCTCATCTCTCAACGGAAGTGCTGTTATACGGTATTCGTTGAGCTGCCGGTCAATAATGATCAAGCCGTCAGCAACCTCACGTCCCATAGCCCAACCAACTACCAACTTTGCTTTCCAGCCGAAGCCACCCACCTTCTTCATTTCCATGATTTCGCCAACAGGAAGACTCCATGACGGATGTAGATCCTCTCTGTCTGCGCTACCAATCTTTTCGATAGTTTTATCCGTGGAAAAGGCGATGCATGGAATTGTTGCTTTCGTAGTAATGTAGACATGGCCTCGCTTGCCATCATGGCGGGCTTTGAACTCGACAGGACCGGATGTGAGATCCACTCCCTTGGGTGGTACAGCACCCAATCTGTTTTTGGCATGAGTGGAACCGGCGGCGGCCTTGACCTTGTCGGCTGTCATCGTGGTTTCAACGCCACCTTTGACGGTGCCACGGAAGAAGTTGAGGATCTTAGTTCCTTTCTTGCCGTGCTTACTGTCCTTGGCATTATCAATGTCCTCGCCGCCAGTCTCGTGCGCGGTGGTAGGATCATGTGCCATGGCTTCGTCGAGCTCTTCTTGTGTTGCATTGAGTGGCCAATCGGCACCTGTGGCGCGCAGCTCCTCTTCGTTGATATCTACAGGCTTCTCTGGTGGCGGCTGTGCAACATGAGGGGGTGGTGGGAGTGGGGCTTTGTTTGCTTCGCCGATTCTCAGGAGGGTGACGGTCAATTGGGCATTTGTCGGCACGCCCTTGAGCAGCGTGTTACGGAGCTCAAGTAGTTTCTGCCAATTAGGGAATTTTCTGTTCAGGAGTGCCAGACCTCGTTGGATGACAGGATCGCCAAAGAAGCCAAAGCCAACGCTGAAGGTGACACCTTTCATGAACATGTACGAGGTTACAAATAATGAGACAAGAACGAGCGGTGCCACCACTGCGGCAAGTCGAAGATGAAACTTGTCTTTTGGAAACGGAGAGGTTGGTTCAAGCATGCTGTGGTGGCATTAGTGAGTAAATATAAAATCTAGCCAGTGCTTGCTTACTTCGCGAATCGCTCCCACGTATCAGTGACGTCTGCGATTCCGTGCATGATAGGCCTCATCTTTGTCCACATGGCAGTCTCCATCGGAACCTTGGTCTTGTCATGATGCTTGTCGGATTTGACGCCGGCAGCTTGATCCTTTGCGTCTGCAGCACTGATAGCGATTCTGGTAGGATCCGGCACACTGCTGTCAGGAGAGTCTTCATTGGGAGGCTCTCCCTGAGGGTGTTTACCAGTCGCACTCGATAGCGCGATTGTCGCGAAACCGTTGACGAAGTTCGAAGCCTCTTGCTCGACAGCCTCACCTTTGTGGTTCTCAGGCGCCCCGGTAGCACTATCTGTACTGCCCAGGGTTCCAGACTTGGGCTTTTGCACACCTCCTTTGGAGCTGACGAGGGCGATAGGTGCTGGCGGAAACATTGTGTCTCGAGCTGGCGGGTATACAATGAGTGTGACTAATGTTACCGCTATCAGTGGCATAATCATGTCGAGAAACCAGGCAGCAAAATATGCGGAACAGAACCATGCAGTGCGGCGACTCTCCCTCCATGAGCGGATGCGAACGATGTGCTTGCCGAATCTCATTAGACCAATGCCCTACAAACAGTTAAATTAACGGCATTCGTAGTTGACTCTTGAGGTACTTACGAGGGTCATGTACAACCGTTCAATGTTTGCACGGAGCTTGTCTGGCGAAAATTCCTCCTCATCGGCGATGTTCATGTCCAAGCCCCCAGGGGGCGCTGTTGGAATCTCCTTGACATGGTACATTTGCTGCACGAGATCAGTATCGAAGTGTAGCGTTAACTCGTACGTGCCCTCACTTTGTTAAATCGGCGGACCAACAACCACAGATCCTCGTTGCCCAAACCCCCAACGAGTGGCTTCGCGACAAGTTCCTTTGGCTCGTTCCATCCTAGGTCGACAACCTCATCTCCATGGGCTATTTGCGCTGCACCTTTCTCCTCTGGAGGCGCTGACTTCGCAGCATCTAGAGCTAGCGCGTGGCTCTCTGTCGGCGCATTGCGTAGTGTAGTAGACTTCCCCTCATGTTCTGTAGGATCCGTATCCGGGATGGGTAGTAGGTCTTTGTAGACCACGCCTCCGGTCGACATATCGACGTTCAGTGGTGAGCGTCAGTTAGGCGTAGGTACAAAGGTATAGGAGTTCGAGTGTTGTAAAGAGGACGGTAGCCTTGCAACATGTTCGCTTCCATACCAACAAGAAAGACGCGTAGGGCCGCAATCGCCCTTTACGTCATGCACGCACTAGCGACGGCAAGCCACATGCATCAGTGGCGATCAGAGGCACGCGCCGCTAGATTGGAACTCTGCACTTGAACACCGTTGCGGCTGATCAAAACGTGCGCTAAACACTAGCAACGCAGTATTAATTTTTGTCACTATGGAGTCACTTCATCACAGCGTTGGGATTTCCCAATATTTTGGGTGAACGCGTTGACCTGAAGAATCCATGCTACCCGGAGCGATCATGATCTCCAAACCCCACCACATCTGGCCGCATCCCGTGTTTTCCCTGCTTCGATCCTTTCCCCCTCGGGTTAATCATGACCATTTGGGCTCAAGACATGCCAAAAGCGTATTCCGCGGCAAGATTGCGATTGTTCGATGAAATGCCATGCTTTGCGCGCCCCAATGAAGGTCTGTGACGTCATCGATTACACCGGGGAGCCATGCGATCGTAGCTTAAGAGTGTTCAAAGTACTAACGAAACCAAACATACAATTCAGCTGCTACTTTGCAAGTCTACAACTACCTTTTAGCTATGCAGCAGATGATACTCGTCCGTCCGATGAACCACAAAAAGCCAATGAATCTGATGATAGAAAGTATCGCAGTGGCGTACAATAAAATGCGGAAGTATATCGGTGTACGGGTTTGTGAGGCTTCCTAATGACATAAATCAGTGAGAGTGCACAAGGTTGAATTCTTCACTGGTACTTACACCAACGCCAATAGTGGCAAAATCGTCACTCGTGACTACGACACAGAGTGCGAGATTCGACAGCAGCCACGAGTAGACCAAGCCAGTACGGAACGACCGGTAGGAATCATCGGTATCCTTCTTCGCTGGCTTATCGTCACCCGTCTTTGCCATTGGTGCAAGTGCCCTATGAACAACTTTCTCGAAGCGACTGTCGATATCTTCTTGCTCTTGCTCCACTTCTTCAACCATGACGTCGCCTTTGCCTTTGATAATGTTTGCACTTGGCAACGAGTCACCTTTATCGGAACCTTTTGTACCCCAGGAAACGTCATGCCAATTGTTGAACGCATACACCATCAGTACATTGATGTAAGTCGACATGAGAAACAAGTACTGTGGAAACGAATGAAACATGTGCCAAGGGTCGAGATAGATAAAGGACGCGAGGAAGTTCAAACCGTAGATGGTTATTAGTGCGAGGAGGATCAACCCCGCAACGCCTGTGCTGCCACCGAAGAAGCTTTCGAAGAATGCCTTGCCTGAATCAAAGGATATTTGTTCGCCGATTGGCTTTGAGCTGAAGGCGCGATAGACCAGATAAATGGTCAGGATGAGGATGTAGCCTTGGATGACGCCGAAAACAATGAACGAGGCCATGTAGCTATGGCGAGATCCTTTCGGTCTGTTACCCAGCGCAAGAATGAATTGCAAGATGAGGAAAGCCACATAGATATATCCTATGATGTGGTTAAAGATCGGCGTTACCTTGTCGCCAAATGGCCAGCCGTGATAATCAAGTAAAGGCTCGGGTGTGCCGACGAGGTTCATGATGATGACGGTGGTAAGGTAGTATGATGCGAGAGAGAACCAAGTGAAGATGGTCTGGGCAATGTTGTAGACCAGCTGAATGTGAAGGAAAAAGAGACGAATAATCCCATGCCCTGAGCCGTAGAGCCGCCCAAAATGCATGATAGCGTAGAGGGATGCAGCAAACGATCCATTGAGCCATCGTCGACGTTGGCCAATAAACTCAGCTGCTGAGTTCGGGACGTCGGTTTCGCCTTTGGATGCTTTAACATACGAGAGATGCCTGTGAAGATGTGAAGTTAGATATCTGTCTTTCGTAGGTAGTGGGTGAGATATACCACTTCGACCCTGCTTTTGCGACCAACTCGAAGCATAGGATGCGATCTTCTGCCAAAAACATGTTCTTTTTGAATATATTCATGCCGTCAATGCCTTTCTTGCCCAGCTTTTTCGAGAGCGTGTGATCACCATGAAAATATTGTTCTAGTGGGCGACCCATTATAGCCCGGAAGCGATATGCTGAGAATGCGCCTGGAAGCACACTAACATAGCCAAAGGAGCTCTCCAGAGGCTTGTCGAGGATATTGGAAATCTTGTACTCGAAGTTCTGGATCGCGACGAGCGGATTCAGCAACGCCTTACCGCCCTCCAACATGGCATGAATCTCACCGCAGGCGCCTCCAAGGTCCTTGTCGTTGTAGAAGGCTTCCCACAGCGAAAGAAGTGAGCGTGGTCCTGGTTTGGTGCCGGCGT